GAGGGTCTTGCAAAGGATCTTAAAGTACTTGTGAGGATTCCTAGCTCGATCAAATAGCTCCTCAATCATGAAATCTTCGTCTTTGCTTTGTGAGAAACACTTTCTCAAAGATGGTCTTTCCCACCATGTTTCTTCAAAGGATAACTCTTGAGGGAGTTCTTTCACAAGTGAATTGAATACTTCTAGCATCTCATCACTTATAAAACGTGTCCTCTTGGTGGAATTTTCGGCAAACTTGAATCCTTTAGGGGGTGGTTTTACCGAAATTCTCGCCGTAACCTTTCCTTGGCTTGTATTCGCCTTCTTCAATGGTCTTGAGACTTCTTCTTCGTCTTGAGTAGAGGTGGACTCGTCCTCTTTAAGGGCAGTAAGGGTGCAGCAATTAGCTTTGGGTGTAGACTCTTCTTCTATTATTTCCAATCGAAGACAAATTTGCACCGTTTCTTCGATTTTCTTCAAACGATCATCTAGTTGCTTCACGCGGTTGGAGGTATCGATTGCTTCTTCTCCTAGCTTCGTTGTTGTGTCAATGATCTCCGTGTTATGGCGTTCAAGGTCAAAACGAACGGCATTAAGAGTTTGTACCGTTAGCCTATTATCGTTCTCCAGTTCTTCTACTTTTGAGGTGAGCTCGCCTCGGTTGGTCTTGAATTCTCCCACGGCATGAGCAGCTTGGTAAGCCTTCATAGCTACCGAGTTTAGTTGAGTATTAAGCCTTCCAACGTCTTCTTTAGTGTCTTTTACCGTTTCTTCCAATTGGTCATAAGTTTGATCAATCTTATACTTSATATCGACAATAMCMTKTTTATCTTCYTGTAGATGTCMTGTATGAATCTCTTCTATCTCRTCCAATTGGACCAAGCGTGTTTCAATTTTCTCAAATTGAACAATAAAGACATCAAACCTCTCCTTAAGAGATGAGTTGATTGTTTCGATCTTTGCATCAACTTCGTGGATGGCCGTTTTAGTGTCTTCCATGAAGCGATGCATCAAGGCTTCGAAATTTTCTTCTTGGTGGTTTGAGTGGGGACGGTGGTGGGACTGTGGCGAAGGTGGCGGATGGATGTAAGTTTAACACAAGAAGGATCA